ACTGGTGGTGGGTAGAGCTGGCTGTTGCACTGGTGGGCAGAGCTCAGTAAAACTTTAATCGGCTTGTCTGCTGATGGGTGGGTCTGGGTTCCCTCCCTGTTGGTTGTTTGGCCTGAGGCAACCCAACACTGGAGCATACCCAGGCTCTTTGGTGGGGCTAATGGCGGACTCTGGGAGGGCTCACACCAAGTAGTACTTCCCAGAACTTCTGCTGCCAGTGTCCTTGTCTCTTGGTGAGCCACAGCTGCCCCCCGCCTCTGTAGGAGACCCTCCAACACTAGCAGGTAGGTCTGGTTCAGTCTCCTATGGGGTCACTGCTCCTTCCCCTGGGTCCCGATGCGCACACTACTTTGTGTGTGCCCTCCAAGAGTAGAATCTCTGTTTCCCCCAGTCCTGCCGAAGTCCTGCAATCAAATCCCGCTAGCCTCCAAAGTCTGATTCTCTAGGAATTCCTCCTCCCGTTGCCAGACCCCCAGGTTGGGAAGCCTGACGTGGGGCTCAGAACCTTCACTTGAGTGGGTGGACTTCTGTTGTATAAGTGTTCTCCAGTTTGTGAGTCACCCACCCAGTTATGGGATTTGATCTTACTGTGATTGCACCCCTCCTACGGTCTCATTGCGGCTTCTCCTTTGTCTTTGGATGTGGGGTATCTTTTTTGGTGAGTTCCAGTGTCTTCCTGTTGATGACTGTTCAGCAGTTAGTTGTGATTCTGGTGTTCTCGAAAGAGGGAGTGGGAGCATGTCCTTCTACTCCGCCATCTTGAACCAAATCTGACTACGGTTTTAAGCAGAATTATGCACTGAGGCCAAAATTCACCAATGACCAATTGCTTTTTTATTAACTTTGTTGAGATATAATTTATGCACAAGATCAATGGCCAATTTTAAAGTAGTTGTTTAAAACTTAAAAAAAATTTTTTTTTTTTGGATTTAATTTCAGGAGAAAGGAAGTTGACTGGTAAATCCAGACATTCTGGGTGGAGAATTTTTGGTGAAATTCCCTGTAAATGAACCAGCAGCTGCGTTCAGGGTTTGATAAAGGCCTCAGTGTTTGGAACACTGTGGGGTTCCTTCTCCCCATCTCCAGCTCTTTCTGGCTGGGTCCGGGTGGGTGTGAGAAGTGATCACTGAAGTGACAGGAGCTGGGTGGAAATGCAAAGTGGGTGTGAAAGCATGAGGTGTACAAGATGGCAGAGCTGAACCCAAATCACATCACTGCCTCTCACTTGCTGTGCAAGCTGTAACGAGCTCCTGGGCATCTCTGAGCCTGCCTCAGTCTCCTCATCTGTAGAATGGCATGTGTCAGAAGACTGAGGTTTAAATAGCTAATGCGGGGACTTCCCTCATGGCGCAGTGGTTAAGAATCCTCCTGCCAATGCAGGGGACACGGGTTCGAGCCCTGGTCCAGGAAGATCCCTCATGCCATGGAGCAACTAAGCCCGTGGGCCACAACTACTGAGCCTGCACTCTAGAGCCTGCGAGCCACAACTACTGAAGCCCTCATGCTGCAACTACTGAAGCCCACGCGTCTAGAGCCCATGCTCTGCAGCAAGAGAAGCCACTGCAATGAGAAGCCCACGCACCGCAGCAAAGAGTAGCCCCTGCTCACTGAAATTAGAGAAAGCCCGCGCAGCGACGAAGACCCAATGCAGCCATAAATAAATAAATAACTAAATAAATAAGCTAATACACCAAAAGTGCCTGCACCAGGGCCTGAACACGTAGGCACTTAATCAAATCTAATATTGTTCTTACAAGGCTAGAAACCTGCCAACCCTCCACTCCCTGGATCTGCACTCTTCTCCACCATGCTATGCTCACTGCCCATTTCTAACTACCCGGGTGGTTCCGCCCAGGCTCTCCCTGAGAGCTGTCACCCTGTGTTGTGACCCCAAGGCCCCGACCCACTTGTCTCTGAGCCCTACCTGCTCTTTCAAGCTCTGGATCTCTCTCTGTTGGGCATCGTCCTCTTCATGCGGAACCTGAAACTTGGGCGGGATCACCCTCTCCTTCTGCCTGGAGGCGGCTGTTTCCAACAGCTTCTGGCTCAGGTTGGCCACTTCGTTGTGCAGGCTTGCTATCACGGTGTCTTTGTATTTGGATTCAAGTTCAAAATCCGAGAGACGGCTGACTTCTTTTCCCAGCAGCAGAATTATTTCATCCTGGGTGGAGGCCAGATGGGAAATTTACTAGGTGTGGGTCTGGGTGTAAGGCTGAGCCCATTTAAAGAAATACAGGAAAAATATGGTATCATTCTTTGGGAAGGTGAGGGCAGGCAGGGAGGGAAAAAGCAGACTTTCAAGGCTATCTCTGTCGCTTGGAAAATCTCATAGAGACAAGAATTTGGTTAAAATGATGTACTTGTATACAGACTCCTGTAATGGATGTCTATACCTCACAGGTACGGAAACTTTCCTTTCCCGAGAATTATACTTTCATATTAAGAACAACCATCCCACTTGGGAACTTTTGTTGCTAGAAAGTTTACTTATAATATTTTCATTTATAATATTCAGCCTAGCACACTGGGGACCTAGGAAAGGTAATCAGGAAAACAACATTCTGTTTGACCACATTCTGCCTATAACGAGGGTTATTTTTTTTAACTTAAAACATTCTGAAATATTTGTTTTCCCTTTCCACTCTTCTAGTACTTCCTGCCTCTTTTGGCTATTCATGTATGAATTTCTTCCAGGTAACTGAATCTGGAAAGTAAATGAGACAGGAATGGTGATTTCTTTGCGTGGGCTCATGTAAACTTTCGGCTGGAAAAACAAAATTGCTGCTAGACTTTACCCACAGGTATAATTAACCCTGCCCTCCGTCTCTCCAGTTAAAACAGCTCTGCAGCCAAAGAATTTGTTAGGTTTTCCAAAAAAGGAAAAAAAAAATCCCCCAAACTTCTCACCAGAAGTTATCAATAAAATATCAGAAAAACTGAAGAAGAAGAAGAAAAGTGCCCCAGAGGCCTTTTCCAAAGCAGCCACAGGAGGAGGTAAACGGGCAATTTCTAGGCCAGCTCATTCCCAGGGGAGCCGTCCAGTCAGCCTCACGACCTGCTAGCTCCGTGACCTGGGGAAGGACAGGGTCTCGCTCATGAGAAAGCCTGTCTGACATTGCCAGCTGCTGCCAGGGGCCTTCCTTTGGGCCCTTGTGAACGCTGGTGGCCAAACTTCAAGAGAGAGCGTCAGACACGTTCCCTACGCCTGGGCAGTTTCCCCTGCTTCACATCAGCCAGGTGCTTCATTTTTCATGCAACAAACATTCATCGGGCAGCAGCTAAGTGCCAGGCCCCGTGCCAGTGCTGGAATATAAGAAGTTTGCAGAGGGCAGCGGACAGCCGTGGGTTCTGCTTTCCTGGTGAGGGTCCCCTTGCCCTTCTTGGAGGGAGCGTTCCTCCTTCCATCTGGTCTGGGTAGGACTGTCAGTCATGTGCCCTGCTCCTTCCTGTCCCACCTCCCCGTGTGCCTGTGGCCCAAGCTGGTCAATCAGAGATTTCACACATCGATTACAGAGGGAGAGGGTCTTGCCTTCTTTTGGATCACAAACTTTAAATATGTAGGCTTGTTTGCCAGAGTTTGTCTTTTCTAACACACAAAGCCAGCCTTATGTAGAAAGCCAGACTCTGAGGGAAACAGAGGGGAGGGATGGGTAGTGGGGAGGTGTTCGGATGACATCATTCAAGCTCCTGGATCTAGCCATACCTGAAGCTAGCGGCCCTTTAAATTTTCCAATAAGATGAGCTAATAAATGCTCCCCCTCAAGCTAATTTGTTTATTGTCACTTGAAGGAGTCCTGGCAAGTCAGGGTATAAATGGCTTACAAATAGAAAAAATTATTTCTATTATAAATAGAAAAAATTATAAATGGCTTATAAAAATTTTCTATAAATAGAAAAATTTATAGTGGTTGCACTATATTTCCAAGTTAAAATTGAGGCAGGTTGAAAAATGGCTACAAATACTTTGCAGCTTTGCCATCCAGTCTATTTCCCCACCCTCTAGTCTGGGCTGGCCCTGTGACTTGCTTTAACCAACTGAATGGAGTGGAAGTGATGCTGCATGATCTCCACGCAAGTTCTTACAGGCTGTGCAGCTTCTGCTCTGGCCCCCTGGGAACCCTGAGACCACCGTGCTGTGATGAAAAACCACATGCAGAAAGGGGCCCACCAGTCCAGGCATCCTGGCTGAGGCCCCAGATGTGGGAAGGAGGCCAATGGAGACCACCAGCCTGGCCAAGCCAGCGGCTGACTGAGCCTGCATGAGTGAGGCCAGGGGACGCGAGCAAAGGAACCTTCCAGGTCAACCCATAGACTCTGGGGAATAATGAATTGCTGTTTTAAGCCACTAAGTTTTGGGGTGGCTTGTTACACAGCGATAAATACAGAATCTGAGAGTGGCTTCTCACCTTTCTGCAACATTTTTCAGAGTCTGGTCCCAGGATGCCTGAGTTGGAACCCCCTGCCTCCTGAAGTTTTGGATTTCCGTGTCTGACAAGAACCCCAGGTAGGTCTGCTCCTCACAAACTCCGAGAATTGCTGTGGGAGCAGGCCCTGGCCCTTAAGGAAAGTGAGATATTATAGACTGCTTCTTTTAGAGTAACTTTCAGGTCATGTCTAAGCGGGGAGAAATTGACCTGGGCCCTTCCCAGGATGGCTTGAATCCATCTGTTCTGCTCGCATCCCTGCTTTAAACCTCTCTGGTTCTTTAACGAGTCTCTCTGCACAGGCCTCCCTGACTTCAGTGCTCACTTGCTCCTGCTAGGAACGTGTTTTTGCGTCACTGTTCCATCTCTCAAGGTTGACCAAGTGATTACTGTGTGGGAGTTAGAAGTACCCTCTGAGAAGTTAACCAGACCTAGGTTTGAATCCTAACACTGCTCCTTGCACTGGGCAACCTTGAACACATTACTTAACCTCTCTGAGCTTCAGTTTCCTCATCTGCAAAGTGAGGGTGATAAAATCTATTTTGAAGTTGGTGAAGATTAACGAGCTAATAAATGTCAAGTGCACAGGACATGGCCCAACACACAGTAGGTGCTCAGTACCTTGTAGTTGTAGATGTTATTTGGGATAAAATGAGCAATGGCCAAACCTGGCTGAATGTCTTGGGAGGAAGAGGTGGTTTCTTGGAAGTAGGAAAAAGAGGCAGTCCTTGAGACACAGTGAACAAGAGGCAGTGGCAATCTCTCCATGGTCCCTCTTGCTGCTGTAGCCCTGTCCTTCCCCAAGACCCCTCACCTTATCGTGCTGGGCCAGGTCCTGGTCCACAAAAATTTCTCTGGAGAACCCTGCCCCAGGAATTTCCTCGGCCACTGATTGTTCCGACAGTTCCACGGCGTTGGTCCACACTAACACACAAGGTCGACAGAGAATGCAGAGGAGACTGTGAGTTTCCCCAAAGTCTTAAAGAATATTTTCAGATTAACCTTCACATTCATGAGACTTATGCAATGAAAGCGTTACAGGAGTACTGGAAAGGGTAAGAGCTGCCTCATTTCTCTTCCCCAGCGTTAACTGCACTGATGCACTGTGATGTGTCTCTTTCCAGACTTTTTTCTATGTCGCATAAGAGCTGATGACCTTAGGCAAGTCATTTACTCTCTCTAAGCCTTAGTTTCCACATATATAATTTAGGACCACTGATAGTCTCTGCTATAAAGGGCTATCTGGAGATTAACTAGAATAATGATATAGAGCAGGGGTTGGCACACTATGGCCCTGTGGCCAAATCTGGCCTTCTGCCTAGTTTTGTAAATAAAGTTTTATTGCAACACAGCCACAGTGATTCATTTACATATTATTTATGGCTGCTTCCCAGCTACAAAGGCAGAGCCGAGTAGTTGCAGCAGAGACCATGTGACCCACACAAACCCTAAAGTATTTACCATCTGGCTCTTTACAGGAAAAGTTTGCTGACCCCCCATGTAGAGCGTTTAGCACTAAACGTTAGCTATATTTTTTTTATTGCAGTCATATCTTTTCAAAAAACAGAAATGGATTTACATGACAGAGATTCTTCTCCAGCTTACTTTTCAGCTAACAATATCAAAAACATCTTCCCATGTCAGTATTTGTAGCTGTACTGGGTTCTTTTCAATGGTAGCATTGCGGTCCACTGTACAAGTGTGCCAAGCGTATTTAACTAGGATCCACTTGATAGACATTTAAGCTTTCCTAATTTTTTTCTTATTAACCCCAATGTTACAAGGGCTGTTTATATGACTTTCGGGGAGTATGGCATTATGTTTGGGGGCTCCACTCTGTATCACATCAGACATCTCGCAATTCACTCACACCAACACTGAATACATTTTTTTTTTTTATTGGTGTAGAAACTTTTGTAAAGATGTCTATCATTCTACTTGTGAGATCACTTGGGCCCAAGCAGCGTATTTTAAATGTCCAAGTGACTATGGTTTCTGGACAGTCACTGCACAATCTTATCTTCTTGTGAAGTGAGAAACTGAAGAAATTGTTTTCAAAGGTGATGAAACTTTAATGAGTATTAACATTAATGATGAATGAAGCACGCACCGTCATGTTTGTGGACATTCATTCAATCATTTATTCATTTGGCTTCTGCATTTTTTATTTATGCATTTTAGAGTCAAAGATTCCTGCCCCCCCAGCCAGGTCTCAAACCTGTCTGTGGAACCCAGAACCTCTAGTGGACATAGCTGATGGCCTGTGGTGCCCCGGAGAACGCACAGCCTTGCGTGTTGAATGAGCAGCCCTGGCCACAGTGTTTCCTGGGGCGCGAGGAACAGAAGGGCCTGGAACTTCAGCAGCTGCCCATTTTCTCTCCCTCCACCTCCCCAACTAGGTCCATGATTAGAAAACTTTTATTTGAAGCTCACTGCCCCCATCTGACCCTCTTGGGTCCTGAGCAGCTAAGTCCTAACTGACTACAGCAGCAGTGCCTGATGCGAGCTACTGAACGCAATTTTCAACTTTCTAGTAGTTGCGTTAAAAAGGTAAAAAGAAGAGATGAATTTTTTAGCGATAAATTTTATTTAACCCAATACATTAAAAAATATCATTTCAACATGTAATCGACAAGAAATATGGGGATATTTTATATTCTTTTTCTTCGAGGTATGAAGCCTTTGAAATCTGGGGTTTATTTTACACTGATAGCACATCTCAATTTGGAAACTGAATTTTCAGGAGGAAGACTTGATCTGTTTTCAGATTCCACAAAAACTTAGAGTCGAAAAAGTCGATTCGCCAACTCAAAATGTTCCAGACTGACTTCGACCCTTTCAATAACTGTATCAAATATCAGTTTTTAAATTTAAAGGAATTAAAATTAAACGTTTGGTTCCTCAGTCGCACGGGCCACAATTTCAGATGCTCAGCAGCCACTGGGGCTGGAGCTGCCGTGGCAGAAAGCACAGAACCAGAACATTTTCCCCTTGTTCCCCTTCTTCCTGACCTAACAAACACCTCCTTTCCTGCCAACATCTATAACTGGGTTAGGAAAAAAAAGGAATAGAGAAAAGAGATTTAAAAAAAATCGTCTTCTGGTGCAGGCTTGACTATAACATGCAGCCTAATTCTGGGGGGGTCCCTGTGGCGCATCAAGGATTGTCACAGGCCTGTGGCTTAGTTTCTAAATATTCAGCATAGTCTGTTTGATGCTACGTGTGTGCCGGTCATTTAATTTTCAGGCTGGGGCAGTCAGTTGCCAGAATCTGTGGTTCCCAGGCCTGGTGTGGCCGGGCAGTATTACATCAGACAGGCTACCGTCCAGAGGCAGCTGTGACCCCTAGAGTCTTCCTGGTTAGCAAACTGAAGGCCAGAAATGGGTTCTTATTGGTAAAAGGGTGGCCTCTTACCTGGTATGCTGAATGCTAGAAATCGGCTCCCACTGGAGGAAGGTACTGCCTGGCCTGTGTCCCCAGGGAGGGCCCCGGGGTCTGACCCTAACTGTGCCCCTGTCCAGTCTCAGCTTAGAGCTCTGGCGTCCGATGCCATCTCTAGGGGTGACCCCGGCTGCCTCTGCGACCCTGTCGTGGCTGTCTTGAGGGACCCTTCCCTGAAAGATGATGGCCGGAGGGGGGACTTCATCAAACCTACAGAACAGGCTGATGGATGGGGTCCCTTTACTGAGGAAGGTGTGTTTACTGAAAGTCTTTGTGGGGCTAGAATTTGCTCTGAGACTCGCTTTCCTTACACCCAGGCAGGGAGGTGCTGGAGCAGTTACCCCTCACCCGCCCCAAACTTCTTTACCGGCTACTGTTATTTATGAAAAAGAACCTAAGGGCCATGTATGACCAAACCGGCTTAACTCTAGCTGCTGGATCCTTCAGAGGTCCCAGTGGGGAGAAGCCCCAGGGAGGGTCGGGAGGGCTGGGGCGGTGGGACGGCGGATACGGGGACACAGGCAGTTTAAGAATTTTTGGGCGTGAGCTGTTGGCCAAACGGCAGGGGAGTTACTTTAATATTTTAACAACCCCCAGCTGTCCTGGTGCTCTCCAATAATCACCAGTCTGCAGCAAGGGCAGTGTGTGTGCACCTTAACTGTGTCTTTAAGACATTGTAAGTTGTAAATAAAAGTTAAATAACAATCATGGTTAGGTAATAATTTTTAAATTTTAATATTTACTGAATGTTCTCTACGCACCAGGCGTTGTGCTCAGCACTTACAGGCAGGATACGATTTCGTCTTCATAACAACCCAGTGAGATAGGCATTATTATTCCCATCTCCATTTTATACGTGAGAGATATGAGGCACAGAGATGTCAAGTCACCTGCTCAAGGACACACAGCTGGTAAGTGGTAGAGTCAAGGGATGAACCTAAGTTTGTTGGATTCAGAGCCTATGCTTTTAACCACTATGCAGTAAACGTATTGAAGTGGGAAGATGTTTATGATATATTATTGAATTTTAAAAATCAGGTAGGGAATTCCTTGGCAGTGCAGTGGTTAGGATTCTGTGCTTCCACTGCAGGGGGCACATGTTCCATCCCTGGCTGGGGAACAAAGATCCCACAAGCTGAGCGGCACGGCCAAAAAAAAAAAAAAAAAAGGAGGTTACCTATGTTAGGTTCATATGATCCCATTATTGGGAAAAAATATATATATATGAATCACGATGCTACTTTAATAAGTCACTCCACATATTTTCTTTTCTCAGTAATTCTTCCCCACCTCCCATGAGCTCTTGCCGTTACGATTTGGCCTTGGAGCTGATGGTTTATTGCCTCGTGGAAAAGGAAGGATGAGTATTAACTAGAACAGGGTGATTTTGCCCCCAGGCAAAATGACGTTTTGATTTTTGGCAATGTCTGGAGACATTTTTGAGTACCACAGTTAGGGGGTGGTGGTGGTGGTGGTGGTACTACTGGTATCTCTAGCGGGTAGGAGTCAGGGATGCTGCTAAACATTCTACAGTGGACAGGACAGATCCCACAACAAGGAGTTATCCAGCCCCACATGTCACTGTGCCAAGATTGAGAAACCCTGACCTGACCTGCAATAAATAAGTCCTTGGCTTTGGGTTTTCAAATAGAATTTTTCAAGTCTAAAGCAAGATGACAGTCTAACAGTAAACCAATTTAATTTGAAGAGCCCAGCTTTGCTAAGAGAGGAAAGAGCTTTCTCGGAACCCTTAAAAATAGGTTTTTTCTGTCAAGAGACAGCATGGAGGACTGGAGCACAGAGTTTTCTCTAAAGCGTGGAGTAGAGAGGCCCAGACAGGAAGGAACTCCCCATCACAAGGGAAGATGAAAGTCCTTTTCTGAGGATGGGGAGAGAGTCAGGGGAACGAGGGCAAACGTTTGGAAACATGAGACCTGGCTGAGAGGTTGAGGAGATAGAGCCCAGGTAGATGTGAGGGACTCTAAGCCATACGACTCATCCTTCATTTCTCCAGGGGGAATGCAAGTCCTTTAGAGAAGCCCCAAGTTCAACATGGCACTGGAGAAACTGGTGATTACAGTGGAAAAATTTAAATGGCGGAGTGAAAAACAGAAAAGAAAAGAAACAGCCCATGTGCCATGTGTCCAAGGATGCATTAAAAAAAAACAAAAACAAAACCCTGTATATGTGTTCATAAAACAGAACATGATCCATACAACAAAATGAATGAATCTCAGAAATACTATGCTGAGTGAAAAAAGCCTTCCACAAAGGAACGTGTACTACATGGTTCTGTGTACTTGAGATTCTAGAACAGGAATATCTAATCCATGGCGGGAAAAGAATTCAGAAGAGTGGTTGCCTCTGGGGCCTGGGGCTGGGAATTGACTGGGGAGGGACATGAGGGAACTTTCTGGGGTGATGGTAATGTTCTATATCTTGATAGGAATTCGGGTTACATAGGTGTACACGACCGTCAAAACTCAGTAAGCACACTCAAGATCTATACCTTTCATGGTGTGGTAGCCAGTCTCCAAGATGGCCCCACTGATTCTTGTCTCCTGGTATTCAGACCCTTGCATCATCCTCTCCAATACTGGATGGACTTTATATTAGTTAGCTTGGGCTGCCATAACAAAGCACCACAGGAGGTCTTAACAAAAGAAATTCATTTTCTCACAGTTCTGGAGGCTAGAAGTCCAAGATCAAGGTGTGGGCAGGGTTAGGCCTCTCTCCTTGGCTTGCAGACGGCCGCCTTCCTGCTGTGTCCTCACATGGCCTTTTCTCTGTGCACGTGCATCCCTGGCGTCTCTCTCTCTCTTCTTACAAGGACACCAGCCCTTGGATTAGGGCCCACCCAATCGTCTCATTTTAACTTACTCATCTATTTAAATACGCTATCTCCAAATATAGTCACATTCTGCGATATTGGGATTGAGGCCTCAGCATATGAATTTTGGGGGAATGCAATTCAGTCCATAACAAAGCTTATCTATGTAACCAAGGATATTGCAGAAATGACAGAGTTTGATTCCTGAGGTTAGATCATAAAAGACATTGCAGCTTCTGCCTCACTCTCTAGGACCACTTGTCTGGAGGAGCCGGCAGCCATGTCATTGAGGATACTCAAGCAACTTATGGAGAGGTCCACTTAGTGAAGAACTGAGGCCTCTTACCAAAAGCCATGTGAGTGAACCATCCTAGAGATGGGTCCTCCAGCCCCAGACAAGCCTCCAGATGACCACAGCCCCAGCCAACACCATTACTGCAACCTCATGAAAAATCCTGAGCAAGAATCACCCAGCTAAGCCATTCCCAAATTCCTGACTCAGAGAAACTATGAGATAATAAATGTTTACTGTTGTTTTAGGCCATTACATCCTGCAGTAATTTGTTAAGCAGCAATAAGTAGCAAATACAGGTTTTGGCACAAGGAGTGACGCAAAATTTAACAAAAACCCTAAAATGTGGAGTGGTTTGGGATGGAACAGTGGGCAGAAGCTGGAGGACTCTTGCCAAGAGTCTTTGAGAAAGCCTGAATAGTCTTAGTAGAAGCCCGATGGCCTTTGAGGAGGCAGTGAGGGAAGGTTTCCAGGAAAGTGAGGAAAATGTTACTGGGGTTAAGGGATCCTTGTTAGGTGGTGGCAGAAGGTTTCATAACACGTTGCCTGTGGTCATGAGGAAGGTAGAAAATGTTCGTGGTGAGGCTGAGTGGTCAAGCTAAAGAGAGTCCCAGACAGAGTCTTGGAAGGTGCTGCCTGGTTACTTCTTGCTACTTATAGTGAAATGTGAGGGAGACAGACAGTTAAAGGAAGGGCTGTTAAACCAGGGCAGTGCTCTGGGCTTGAAAATTCCCTGCCTCTCCAGGTGGCAAATGAAATGCAAGAAACAGGTTCTGGGCAAAGATCAAATCAAGGGCGCTCTCAAGAAAACACAGTCTAGAGAAGAAGCTGAGGGTGTGGTTGTAAAATCCTTTGTTGTAAAATCTATCTGTAAGAAACATCTATCTGTAAGATAGATTTGATAGGTTGTAAAATCTATCTGTAAGAATACAGATCCAGGGCAGTGTCCAAGAGAACCCTTCGGTCAAAGAACTGGGCTTCTAAGAAGCTTCTGTCCTTTGTCAGTCTTTGCAGAAGCCCATGGTGGAAGGGCTTGTGTCAAAAAAATCTGTGGGCATGGGTTTTGCCTAGTAGGATGAACCCCAATAAGACGCACTGCCAACTCAGACTGACAGAGACCCACAAAAGTAAAAGAAGTGTCTGGACCTCCAAGCTTCTACAGGCAGGAAGCAGGCTATAAAATTATGCAGCCACATACATGTGATACCTTTCATAGGAAAGGTAGGACGACTCAGAAGGTGGAACTCAGGGACCAGGGGGCAGAGCCAAGAGCCCTGGAAAGTCATTTCTGGGCAGGAGTTGGACTGAAGCCCAATCAAGGAACTGCCAATATTTTCCCAGCTGGATTTCAGAACTGCTTTGGGCCAGTGACTCCTGTGTGTTTCCTGTTTTTCTTCTTTTGGAACAAGAGGAGTGTATGTAGCAGTTATGCTATGTCTGTCCCACCAATATATGCTGGGTGTGTGAGGGACAGACACTTTGTTCATCGGTCTTCAGACTTCTGGAAGTAGGACTTGATGAGCTGAACTTAAGGAACTACACCCATGAGCCCCATCTGTACCTGGACTTGATGAGATTCTGGAATTTGAGCTGATGCTGTTAATGGGGTGAGATTCTGGGGGGCCTCGGGAGAGAGGAGGAGGAGTGTGAATCATTGAGGACCCGAGGGCAGGCTGTGGTAGCCAGCCTCCAAGGTGACTGCCGATAACCCCCGCCTCCTGGTCTTCAGGCCCGTGTGTAGTCTTCTCCCACACTGGAGGGTGACGCCCTGTGTAACCAGCAGGACACTGCAGCAATGACAGGGCACGACTCCTGAGGCTTAGTCACAAGAGATGCTGCCATTTCCATCTTGCTCTCCAGGATCACTTGCTCAGGAGGAGCAGTTGCTGCGTCATGAAAACACTCCAGCCACTTTCTGGGGAGGCCCATGTGGTGAGGAACTGGGGCCTCCTGCTGACAGCTATGAGAGCACGCCGTCTTGGAACTGGATCCTCGGCCTAGGTCAAGCCTTCAGACGACTGCAGCCTTACGAGGGACCCTGAGCCACAGCCGTCCAGCTAAGCTGCTCCCAAATTCCTGACCCACAGAAACCGTACAGACGATAACACATGTTTGATTTTTGCTTTAGGCTGCTAAGTTTGGGGAGAATTTGTTATGCAATCATGATAACTAATACACATTGTGTGTTAATTTTACATGAAGGAGACAAAAAATGTTGAATTCTAGTTGATGGTATATGTGCTAAAACATCTAGGGGGAGGACTACAGATGTGTGCTATTTATTTTGAAATGCATCAAAAAATAAGATGGATTAATGCAGGACAAGAAGGATGGGTAGACAGAAATGTAATAAAGAGTATAGCAAAGTGTTAGCGGTAGAATTAGGAGGAGAGCTGTTCTCTGTAAAATTCTTTTTGCTTTGCTGTATGTTTGAACGTTTTCACGTTAAAATGCTGGGGGGAAATGGCTGAGTAATTTCTTAACTGGGTGGTAGATACATGAGCGTTCCTTAGGTGATGATGACGACGATGTAAACTGCACAGATGCCTTTCATTTGCTCCTTAGTCTGTATATTTCAGAATAATAATTTTTTTTTTTTTTTTTTTTGCGGTACGCGGGCCTCTCACTGTTGTAGCCTCTCCCGTTGCGGAGCACAGGCTCCGGACGCGCAGGCTCAGCAGCCATGGCTCACGGGCCCAGCCGCTCCGCGGCATGAGGGATCTTCCCGGACCGGGGCACGAACCCGTGTCCCCTGCATCGGCAGGTGGACTCTCAACCACTGCGCCACCAGGGAAGCCCAGAATAATAACTATTATTTGAATGGCTGAGGGAGGTGACTAGGTGAGTGGTCCTGAGTGAGACCAGGGAAGGGTGTGGAGGCATCGAGAGACCTGGGGACTCAGAGGGGTCTGGGGCTGGGACGCAGAAAACAGAGAATGGGACCTTCACACCAGTGGCCACAGGAGAAACCTGGGAATCATGCCAGGGACTAAGTCCACCCAGCTACTCCGCCAGTAAGGCTGGCAAGGCCAAGAGGATGGTGGCAGACAGGAATTCTCCTCCCCAAATGCCATGCGGCCTTCTGGTGGGGAGGGGGGGCGAAGGAAACCCTGATGGCTGTGTGTCCCCAAAGTGACCAGGCTGTGAGTGACAGTCACTGAGATAACCAGCCTTAAATCTGACTGAAAAGTGTGAGCTTAGATTAGATTGAATATATCACCTCCGGAGAAGTAATTTTCTCCATAAGCCTCAGTCTCCTCTAACCTGTAAAATGGTAATAAAATATTTAAAAACCTCCTAAGGCAAGAGGGATTTCAGTTACCAATATGTCTGTACATCTGAGTCAAAGTATATAAATTTAGATTCTGACACACATTCATATATATTCATATCTACGTACACACACACACACACACACACACTCACCACAGAGGTACTGACGTGTGCAGATGGGCAGAGCACAGTCTTGGAGGAGTTTGTGCCAAAAAGTCAACAGGGAGAACTCCAGTGATAGGCGTGACAGCTTATCTTTTACTGTTTTCTAACTTTCTGCTTACCCCAATTTTTTCACAATTGATTATGTTCTACTTCAGAATCAGAGAACAAAAGCCAGAGAAAGACAAATATCATATGATCTCGCTTATATGTGGAATCTAAAAAAAGGTACAGATGAACTTATCTACGAAACAGAGACAGAGTTACAGATGTAGAAAATAAACTTATGGTTACCGGGAATAAGAGGGGGGAGGGATAAATTGGAAGAGAGGGATTGACATACACAATACTATATATAAAATAGATAACTAAGAAGGACCTACTGGATAGTACAGGGAACTCTCCTCAATACTCTGTAGTGGCCTATATGGGAAAAGAATCTAAAAAAGAGTGGCTACATGTATATGTTTAACAGATTCAGTTTGCTGCATACCTGAAACTAACACAACACTGTAAATCAACTGTACCTCAATAAAAATTTTTTTTTTTTTAAAAAGGGGGAAAGCAGAAACCGAGACCCATCCTCCTAGCCAAAAGCCCATCCCCTAAGCCGCCATGGAAGCACCCATGAGTACCTTGCTTGATGATGGGAACCCTGTGGGCGGCTCTGTCCACCACGAAGGAGAACATCTTCCCGCTGGCACTCACGGGCCGCTTGTGGGAGGCAGGTGGGACCATGGGGGGCCCGGGGAATCCCGGGGACCAGCTCCTCTGCACTGGCGCTGGCCAGATGCCCGGGTGGAAGGGGGTCTGTGGTGGTGAGGGTGACTGGTTCGGTTGCTGGGTGGCCCGAGGTGGCTGTGGCCTTGGCCAAGGTGCTGGGCCCCTCACCCATGGGAAGGAGACCTGCAGGGGCAGACAAGAGGGTCAGGGGAGGTTACGAGCAGCTGGGGTGGTCTTCACCCTTCTGTCCCGGCGACATAACTGCTGCCCTAGATTTCAGCGTATAAGTCACTTCTCCCAGGAAGCCCTCCCAGACTCTCCCCAAATTCGGGATGGTGGTCCCCACCATGGGTCACCTTGCACACTATTGCAGCACCATTTATTGGGTGCAGCCTTCGTGCCAGGCACCCAGTCAAAAGATTCGCATGCATTACCTCGTTTAATACCCCTGATGCTCTGTGATGAGCCCGAGGCTGAGCAAGACCTAGTGACTTTCCCAGGATCACAGATGTGGTAGTGAGCGTCTGAGATGGTAGAACGCCACCTCTGAGCTCGAGGGTGAGAGCTTTTTGTCTACCTTGCTCAGCACCGTATCCTCAGCTCCTAGAATAAACCCTTGGCACATACAGAGTAGGTCCTTAAATACTGGTTGAAAGAATGAATGAGCTCTCCAGGACACACACGTCCACACTGTCTCTCTCTCTGGCACTCCCATTCCGTCTGTTCCCCAAAGCCGAGGGCTCTGGGGTGGCCGGCACCCCAGCTGGCTCATTAACCTGTGATTCTCAACATCAGCCACATCTGATTCTTGGCAGACGCTCCATAAATATCTATCGAGGGAACCTTTTTTCATCTGACCCAGCGGAAGATGTCTGTAGCTACTTTCAACAGAGAGCACATCAAAATCCATCTAAACCGGGAGAAGCAAATGCTGAGAGGTGCTGACACCTGGCTTTGTCTTGGTTAATGCTGTTGTGGCCGGCCCACCCCGAGCCTAGTGGTTAAACCGTGACATCGTGAATGCTACCATTTATTGTAATTACTCACCGATTTCTCACAATAGCCCTGCAGGGGAGGAGCTCTCCTTATTCCTAGCTTACAAATGAGGCATGGAGAGGTTAAGGAATTCACCAAGCTCAGGTGGTGGTGGAGAGGGTGGTGGGACTGGGGTTCTGGAAAGCTCTTTCCCTCTCTGTCTCTCTCTCCCTCCTCTGCCCCCCCACCATCCCGCCCCCAGTCTCTTGGCAGAAAAAAACACACTTTTCAAGTAAGAAGCTAAGTTCAAAGGTTTGCTGCCTGTGGCGGGCCACGTTTCGCTTTCTTCAGACCGGAGACACATAATGAGAAACGGGACAGAATGCTTCCGAAATAGGAGCGCTGGCAGACAGAACTTCCTATAGCTCCAGCTGGATTGTATTCAAGAGGAAGGTTCTCCACTCACTCAGGTTCCCAAACCAGTCTTTTAGCTACAGTCTTTCCCAGCCAAGTCAAGAATCCGGTGAATTCCCCTGAAGACTTTTTTGGAGTCAGGGAGAATACTGTTCAGGAAAATCAAACTCCAATTGCCTGGTGACACCTGGCCCAGCATTTATGATGACACTGGCCCTGTTGAAACCTGTTTCAGGAACGGACTTGGCAGTGTTCCAGAACTTTGTTACCTTATGTGAAGATTCGAATTTCTCTCCAGTGTGGGCACCTCGGTCTCCACCTAAGCTTTCTTCCTTTCTCTCCTTTCAGAAGCTGAGGTGTCCTGCTCCTGCCTTGCACTAACTTCTCCATGCATCCTATCCCTTCCCATCCTCTCCTCTGGGGCTGTCTTGCCTCAATCATTTCTATAACCTTTCCTCATCTATTTAATAAAGATTTATCGAATGAAAGGGCTGAAGGTGGGAAGGGGGAAATTTGAATATGTTTTACCCCCGCCTGCTAGAAAACAAATCTAGAGACCACGGGTAGTGTGGAGGAATTCCTTTTTTTTTTTTTTTGCGGTACGCGGGCCTCTCACTGTCGTGGCCTCTCCCGTTGCGGAGCACAGGCTCCGGACGAGCAGGCTCAGTGGCCATGGCTCACGGGCCCAGCCGCTCCACGGCATGTGGGATCCTCCCGGACCGGGGCACGAACCCGTGTCTCCTGCATCGGCAGGCGGACTCTCAACCACTGTGCCACCAGGGAAGCCCGAGGAAATCCCTTTTGTGCTGGGATGCTCAGGTAGATGTGCCTCACTGCCCACTAACTGCCAGGGTGCTAAAGGGAGTGGTCATATCTCACGCCTCAAGTGGTCCACTGCTGTAGTGGACAGGCTACAACCCACCCGGCTCTTCTGGAAATTCCAGGAATCTCTCTCCCAATCTGTCGGCCCATTGCTGTGGGTGGGGCTAAGCAATCAGCCAATCACACTCCCTGGCCATACTGATTGGTTCAGTGGTGGGGCAAGTGATCCAATCAGAGCCAAGGAGACGCAAGAAGACTTGGCTGGACACCAGGATCTGGAGTGACCTGGCGGGACTTCAGAATGCAGCCAGCATGAGGGAGTGGAGCCCAGACATGGAGAGAGAGAAGCTGTTTATTTATTTTTCAAATTGTGGTAAATAACCTGCAACATAAAATTTATCATCTTAGCCATTTTAAAGTATATAGTTCGGTGGTGTTAAGTATATTCACATTACTGTGAGATGGATCTCCAGAACTTTTTCGTCTTGCAAAACGTAAACTCTATCACCATTAGACAACAACTCCCCATTCCCTCTGCCACCCAGCCCATGGTGACCAACATTGTCTCTATGAATTTGACTACTCTAAGTACCAAGTACCTCAGATAAGTGAAATCACATGGTACTTGTCTTTTTGGGACTGGTGTATTCCACTTAGCATCGTGTCCTCAAGGTTCATCCGTGTTGTAACATGTCAGAATTTCCTTCATTTTTAAGGCTAAATAATATTCCATCATACAGTTTAGAGTGTATTTTGTTTATCCATTAAGCGTCATGGGCACTTGGGTGGTTTCTACCTCTTGGCTATTGTAACTATGCTGCTGTGAACATGGTGGGGAAGATAAGGAAGCTGGTTTTGAGCCCTGGCTGGGGTGCTACCCTGAAGTGCTCTATCCCTGAGGCCGGCTAGAGCTGGTTTCTGTCGCTTGCAGCACACAGAGCCTGAACGATAGGGCCCCTAGGGGGAAGGAGCGAAAGATGTGTAAATGCAGCAGAGACTCCAAGCTCTTCGGGTTTAAAAATTAAAAAATAAAGTTTGGGTTTTTCTTTTTTCTCTGAAGCGTGTTGGTTGAGGGTAGCTTTAGCTGGATGGTTAAAGTTGGTTTCCTCTAGTTTGCCGGCTTGCTCTATCACAGGGAAGGTCAAGGTTTTCTCAGAAATTGCTGCTGGTAACTACAACGAAACAGGCAGGGAGAAAAGCAAACATAAGAAAAAGACTCACATCAAAAGCCAGCTCTGGGGTGTACAGGAAGCATGGGGTCAAGGTCAGTCATCAACAAGTCTGTTTTTATTATTTATTTATTTTAGATTTAATTTTATTTATTTTTGGCTGTGTTGGGTTTTTGTTGCTACGTGCAGGCTTTCTTTAGTTGCGGCGAGCCGGGGCTACTCTTTGTTGTGGTGCACGGGCTTCTCCTTGCGGTGGCTTCTCTTGTTTCGGAGTGTGGGCTCTAGGCGCATGGGCTGCAGTAGCTGGGGCACGCGGGCCCAGTAGTTGTGGCTCGTGGGCTCTAGAGCGCAGGGTCAGTAGTTGTGGCACACGGGCTTAGTTGCTCCGCAACATGTGGGATCTTCCTGGACCAGGGCTCGAACCTGTGTCCCCTGCATTGGCAGGTGGATTCTTATCCACTGTGTCACCGGGAAAGTCCCCAAGTCTGTTTTTAGAAACTTTAATTTAAAAATACATGCTAATGCCTTTTCTCTTTCTTTGTGTCTGTTCTCTGACCGTATGGTATGTTGCCATGGTTGGGTTCTTTGTTTTGTTTTTGAGGTAGCATATGTTATACTCCTGACTTCTTTTCCATACTACCTTTAAAATAGCAGGTTGTCAACCACCTGGATTAACCATGACCACATCCACGGCTGAATTTATATTAGCTTTAATAAACACGGGTCAATGATTTACTCAAGAAATCACTATCCATTTTTTTTCATATTATCTACTTGTTCTTTGTGTTATTTCTCCAACATCTGCTTCTAACCCTGTAAAGAGTGTAGGTTGAATGGGAGACCCTAAAAAAAATTCAAGGTAGTTTGCACATTGAGTGCCTACAGTACACATGAATTCTGCCAGGAAGCCCTGGAGCCTGCAGAGAAGGTGGAAACTTAGACCTTGCCCTTGGAGAGCTTGTTATCTGCTCTGCCATTTGTAAGTAATTGTGGACAATACAACGGCTATGAGCCACTGTGTAGAGAAGCCACAGATGTGCCACAGACTCTGCTGGGCACTTAACGCATGTGGTCTCATCTGATCTCCAGAATAATCTTGGAGGAGGCATTTTACCCCTCATTGTGTGGATTAAGAAACTGAAGCTCAGAGAGGTTAAATGACTTGCCCAAGGTCTCACAGCCAGGAAGCGGTGACACTATTTGACTCCAATACCTGTGCTCTTAGGACTTCTAGGTTACTCGAAGTCATGATTTATTACCTGCTTTCCATACTCACAAACAGATCTTAGATGGTTGGTTAGTGAATGATAGGATACTTTCCAAGTTAAAAAAAGGAAATGAGCATTAGATGGTGTGAAAAACCACAAGACATCGCATGGGCTACTTAGAAACGGGATTTTCTAGGAACACTGACAACTGTCTTATGGAAGTGTTATTCGTCTGGTACATGCCATGCCCTGGAAGCAGCTCAGAGGACCCCAGCCTCCATCCGGGAAGACCTGTGGTATGTTCACTGCTGTACCAGAGGAGTGCTGGGGCCAGCTGGTACCCGCCCAGAGAACCGATTGTTAAATGACCAGGAATTTTGCCAACTGGTTGATAAACACAGCCATTAATAAGAATTAACTTACATAAATTTACAATTAACTTATATCAGAAACAAAGGTGATACAAACTTAACTCACCCCTTCCTAATTATTTTACTCTATTTTATTATTACGTATGCTCTTGAGGTTATTTCGCTCTACTATATGTGTCTGTTGGAAATGCTACATAGCGATGTGTTACCACACCTCTCTTTCC